ATATTACTATTTATTATATAATAATCAAATATAATTTTAATAATACATGTTCAAGAATCTAAGAAAACTCCCAGCTAATTAAACATCTGGAAAATTCGAGATAAGAGTTCCGATAAAGGCGAACTCTCAGCTACTCGAGAAATAACATTCAAACGCGCCTCGGATTGACTAAATCTAAACAATTTAGCAAAACTACGAATTTCTAATGAAAATACAATTCATAAAAACATTTGGTGAAAACAAAGTTCCAAGTGTCCAGCAAAACAAGTCATAAAACTAATGCTACGAGACATTTGACACGGCCTCGCCATAAAGCATCTATCGACGACAAATCATAAAACATCTGGCGTATACAAGTCATAAAATTAGTCTGAAAAACACAAGCCAGATGATACACTCAAAAACAAAGCTACACGTAACCTTCACAACACTGACCGATCGCAACGCGCATGATTATAAGAAATGCATGCGACAATGCTAGGATGGAGAGGGAAAAGCACGGCATCAAGACCCCCCATCATGGAGGGGAGTTGAGCAAGACCCGCTCTCATTGGAGCCTCCATCTTGGAAAGACTCACTGGTGGGAGACCCCACCACTAAAGAAGAATTCTGATTGGGCACACTAATAAGACTAAATCTCATTGGTGACGCCATGATCGACAAGACAGCTCTGATTGGCGACACCAAAAGAGAGGGAATTCTCACCGACCACCGCGTGGTCGAGAGAAGGCTTTAACAAAGGCAACGCCGGCACTGCACAATCACTTATCTTATCTTATCGAACAGAAAAAGAACAAGTCAATTAAAACGCAGTCAAACAATTCGAAAGTCAAAGTTAATTACACAAGATTAGTCTATTCAACACAAGTGCTAGATAATCAAATCATACACTCGCAGCAGTGAAATACAAGTAAAAAGGGGGAATCGAGAATTATGAATATCAGTTCGCACAGTATACACAATCAAACTGCAAGGAGCCACACGAGGCAACTCAAAGAACAAGACAAAACATAGCTATACACAACGTGCAGCACTACGAGGTAATGTTCCATTCCTAATTAATACATAACTATATCAAGCTATACGCGCCAATCTGCAGATACGTAAAGCTATCTGCAAAACATACCACAAGCAATACAAGCAACGTCACGTGCTCATATACAAGGAAGCGCGGGGGTTTACGACCTCGCTCTTCTGTGTGTATTATTTCATCTACACGTGCATTACATATAGAGGAATAGCAAAGCATCAACTTCTTCCTGTGTATGCGACGCACGTGAACGCTCAGTGGCAATAACACATACAAATCAAGAAAAGCAAGTGCTCAATCATAAAATAAAACTCATTATAATCAACTAGTGCAATTATATAAATAAAACAAAACTAAATAACAAAACTACTCTTTATTGAATACATGTACTATCTTGTCCACTAGCCTGCAATCCTCCTATCAACATCAGGAGCTCACACCTAATCTTAGTTACTTGGCCCTCCTCGCCCGATACTCTATTTTTAGACAATACACTTTACTAAACTATTACCAATTCATTATTTATAAAATTATGATAAATATCAATAGTATTATAATGGTTATTTATATATTGGAAAATAATTATTTGTAGAATAGTATTTTTACTAATAAAATAGTTTTCAAATCGAGTAATATTTTATAAAACTTGTATTATAATGTAACATTTATCTTATCCGTTATAATTTTAAATGAATTGAGTTTTAATGATTTTAAGACATAATTTTTTAGTTAATACATCATAGATAGCACTAAAATTTTTATATTATTTATATATAGATAAATTGTAAATGTTTTTGTATGATTGATGTGATTTTCAAAAAATTGTTGAAAAATGGAGAGAAATTTGTATTGTATAGATGAAATGAATAGTTCACTACTGTATTAGTTTTCTATTTTTAATAAGATTTTTATGTTATATGCATCATATTTTTTCTTTATATTTCTTAAATTGTTAATTTTTATTCTCTATATAAATTATATGAAGATTAACGTTCTACTTAAAGTTAATATGAATCATAATTTTTTATATTACCTATCAACTAATGATATATCAAGAATTTTCTTAGTAATATTAATATTAAGTTTCAATAAATTTACTATTATTTTTTACATCATTTGAAAAATATTACGTCATTGCTGTTAATATTAAACTTGTAAAGATATTTTAATAATTAATTTCAAATGTTAGTACTTTTTATACATTTTACTATGAATTATTATCACTTCAAATATCTATTTTCCAAAAGTAAAAATAGTTTCAATGAAAATATGTATATTTTTTATTTAAAATTTCTACAAGTATATATTTTATCGAAGCATAATCGAAAAAATATTTATATACTGGTTACAAATGGAAGCTAATTTATATTAATAATATATTTATCAAAAACTTAATTAATGTAAACAGTAAATTTTAATTTAAAACGTTATTTTATTAAATCTATTCATTGTAACATATTTTTTATAACCTTATTTGTTAATAACCAGCTTCAATAAATCTCAATAAATTATCTCAAATAAAATGTGATTGTTTTGATATAATTATTGTTAATATAACAAATCAATTTGAGTATGCTAATTCACATATTTTAGAAACGTAAAATGCTTTTAGAGATAATATTAATTAATACCCAATTATTTCATTAAAACCCAATAAACTTCCTTGCTTTATTTTTATCATTTAGAATGGATCTGATTTTCACATATCGATTTTCACTGACGACGTTTCTGTAACAAAAAAGTTTAAATGTTAATATGTTAAATAAACTACTATTGATAAATAACAATCAACACTTTTTAATTAAAATAAAATTCCATATACTTCATTTAAAATTTGTTTAAAATTATAATAAGCATATCAATAAACGTTTAATATCATACAATAATGATTAATGTTGTAATCGAAATTATAAGATAATTTCCCGTTATTTTTTATTGGTTTTATTTAAAAATACTTATTTAAATCACATTATAATCTTTTTTTTTGTTTTTTTTTTTAGGATCATTTTAGAATAATATTTGTTTTAACGTATTACAATGTTCAGTTTATTTATACATAATTAATTTTTTTCTTCCCTATTGACACCAAATATTTAAACACTATACTCATAAAATTCCTTTTCACCCTATTGAATGCAAAAATATATTTTTATGTATAATTCTAAATGCTATGAAGATAAAAAAATTATATATGTATCATAACAATGTCATGATATATATAAAATCAAGATTATATTTAAAATTTTATTTAAAATTTTATTGTCTTATATCTAATATTTTGTTTCAAAACAATTTAAGAGAATTTTTTTTAAAAAAAAAAAAAGTTTATAATTTTACTTGAATTTGTATTTATATATAAAATAACATGTGAGTTATAAAAAATCGAATATATCAGATTAAAATTATCATGATGAAATAAAATATAATGTTTTTATAGACATTTATGCCATTTCATAAAAAGACATTAGTACTACTATTTAGCACTTTTGCTAATATGATTTCATGAATAACACCTATACAAACTAAACAATAAGTAACAGTGATCAATTCTGTTATGATAAAATTCAATGTCTTACTGTAATGAAATTATTGATAGTTTGTTTAAATATTTTGATAAAATAACATAATTAGTTTGACATAATTAAATTCCGACAATGAAGCTACTTATCAGGAACTTATAAATGACTACTAGTCTAGCCTAGTCTAGTAGTCTAAAATGATTGAATTTCTAATCTTAATTCACTCGACAAATATATATTATTAAAAAATCCTATTTTTCTGCTGGTAGTCAATAATAAAAATTATAAAATATTTGCTGAGATCATGATTTACAAATTTAAGAGTTAATCAAATTTATGGTTAATTCTTACAAGTTAGAAAGACATTAATGTTGTATAAATTAACGATAATTATAGGTAATCGCAGAAAGGGATACATGTTTTCTTCTGTAAATAACAGATGTACTTGTAAATTTATACAATTTCTTCAGTGCTGTCACAATACTAAATCATAATCCAACATATTTTCAGATCATATTACAATCAAATTAATAAAATTTTAAAACTAATACACAAATATAACGATATATAATATACATGAAAAATTGTCACTATTTTCGCACTAGAACACTGGAAAGAATCAACAACTTTATAAGTAATATATTATAAAAGATAAATAAAAATACCTTTTTAACCATAATCATATTTTACCTCAAGTGTATATGAAATACAACAAACCGTTAACATCTGTAAATAAGATAATATAAACGATATGATTGCTTACCAACTAGAAACTGATTTAATTGTATCCACTGCATAACATTTAAGATGTGTAGTAGACCAATCTCTAATCACATATATACTTATATTTACTTCAATATATAACGATATTATTTTAACGATATATTTTTTAAAATAATTTCAAATATTAAGTTTTTAAGTTATAGTTATGCATATAATTCTGCTAAGAAATAAACATTGTCGTGAGAAGCATATTTTTACAATTAGTGATTCTATTAAAGTTTTTTGACAATAGATAAATGATTGTCAAGATAAAAAAGTTTATTTACATCTATTTTATAAATATTTTTAATAATTTAATTATTTTATTTTTATTTTAAAATTTATCGTATATAATCCACAACTTATAATCAAGAACTTATATTTGTATTTCTTATAACACTATATTATTGTCTCAGTTACCTTTTGTTGTATCATTTTTTACATGCAAATGTTTTTTCTATCAAAGTTGATCAAAATAGATTTCTTACTTGTTCTAAGTACTATACATTAATACATGGTTGATTACTCTGATATTTACTAATTTTAATAATCCCATAGTAGTATGTAATAATGGGATTATGAAATAATTGTTAAGTGGAAGAGGTATTTAATCGAATTTTAATATATAAAAAGAGGAATAATATATGCTCTATTACCATATCTATAGATGTCATTATTTATTCTTTTAGAGATAAATAAACGTGATCACAACATTTTCAAGACAATTTTCACGCTGCAGAACCACCACACAAGTTATCAAAAAGGTTAAGTATTGTTACTATATAAGATATAATTTGGAAAATAATGTCAAGTTAAAGGTACAAAATTATATATATATATATATATATATATATATATATATATATATATATATATACAGAGAATTTTCATACTTATTTTATAAAAGTATAAATATATCTATCCTCATATATCTGATCGCAGTCCATAAACTTTAATGTTGATATTTAATAATGTTAAATGTGGTATTAACTGATATTTACGATGCTATAAATAAAATTATATTTCATTATCATCCTATATTTCATTGACATATTTTTATGATATAATGTAATATTAATGAATTACGAAATCTGAAATATAAATGAAACTACTTTATTATTATTTTAGGAAAAGAAAAACTTGGTATTCCTATAAATGAGAATGTTGTTCTGGTATTAGAGTCTGATGGAACTCAAATAGATGATGGAGAATATTTCAAAACTTTATCAAACAATACAATCCTGATTCTTTTACGAAATGGCGAGAGTTGGTGTCCAACAGGTGTCGACATTATACGAGCTGGTATGTTTAATTACACATGTTGTACTATTTAATTTATAAAGATACGTTGGCTTGATTGCAGCAATCTCAGCTATTCCAAAAATAGTTTGTGAAACTATTCATGCCCTAGAATTACATGATGAAACACCTACATGGGAAATTATGGATAATAAAGGTCGAGTCACAGTGGCATTACACTGGGATCATCGTTCATCATCGACAAATCAAGTTCAGCAGACCAAAATATTTGATAGCGCACAAAACACTAAATATTCATCATTAAAAAAATCTAAATTATATTCATCACAAAAACCATCATTAGTAATTCAAACGAGTCTTGATAAATTAAATTATGGTACTAAATTGTCGACTTGTTCTGAGCTTATCACACCAGTATCACATTACAATAGCCCTCAAATTACAGTAATAAATCACGACGATATCATACAGCGAAAGTACAGTAGTCCAAATAATAGTTCCTATGGGCCTATTAGTCAACATGGCCATCTTTTGAAAAAAAGTACTAGCTCATTTGATAGTACCATTACTCATATTCATACTTCCGAATGTTTAAATCACATTAATGAACCAATTATTAGTAATGGTAGTCCTGTAAATATAACAGATAATACTTCGGGGCAAGAATGTGACTTTCATTGCTATGCTCTTCACGAGGAAGGTCGACGTATCGCTGTGCATAAATCTGTGGCTACATCACCAATTCAAGATACATATGGAGTTCAACAACAACTGCAAATTTTATCATCGCAACCAGTAAGTTCGCTTTCAGACAATACTCGCCGCCAAAGTATAGTCAAAGGTCATGTAAGATTTTGTGATACAACTGAAGAAGAAGAACAACGTGGAATCTACCCTTTTGATCAAATACATCAATACCATACGGAGCAGCATGAAAGTTCAGAATCTGAGACAGAAAATACTATTATGGAAGATGAAATCGTTACATCAGAAAAGTTTTTATTACTTATTGATCAGCTAACTGTCGAACAAAAAAATCATCTTAGTATAAAAGATATTGGTATAATTCTCGAACGACTCAGTTCAAAAATTCTTGATGTAGAAAGACTTGATCGTGAAAATGAAAGCGAAGATTGTTATAATTGGACAATTAAAGCTATTATTAGAGGCGATATGCTACGCGAGCTTGGTGTTATATACAATGGCAATTACTATATTATTTCTGAACATCCAGGATATAAAGAAGAATCTGAGGAAAATAATGAAGACAATGAAGACGATGAAGAGGAAAATAGATTATAATATCAATATAGATAACCTGTCATCCATTTTGCTACCTTTTAGCTCTTTACCATCTCTGTATATCTTTCAGTCTTGACTTTGGCTGTCTATATATTTCATTATAGAATCATGGTACATCTAAAAATGGTTTGCTTTATATAGAGTTTACTAAATCAATCAAGGGCAATTCAGGGGAAAGGAATTAACTACTAATAGTAATTTAACAGAATGTTATACTTCCAAGACATTTTCCACAATAAAATACGATATTCTATGTAAAATTAAATATTGAAATTAGATATTGAAGTTGTTGAAATTTAATATTAAAAAATAAATAATAAATTATTTCATGTCTACTGTTTAGTAACAAATTAAGAACTTTTTCCATTTAATTCACGTGATAAGCACGCAACAATACTTATTTTTTACTTTTATATTTATAGTAAAATAATAATGTGATTTTTGTTATAATGTGATTTTATTCAAAATGTTAATTGTGTATACAACTGTCTTTAACACTTTTGATGACCATTATTGTATTAAATGAGTCTACGACATTTTGTAGATAACGATTATATTTTATTTTATTAACTTTTAATATAATTATTTATTAAAAAAATAATTTTGTCGATAATTTCTTCACCTATTAATTATGATAAAATGTTTTCTAAACAGTATGTAAGAATGCCTAAATAATTTAATTATTTAGAAATTAACTATATCATTACAATTGAATAAATAGATTTTATCCCATTATTATTAATTTAATAAAAGGTATGTTATAAATATGCGTTTTTAAAGGAATAGTATACAAAGCAAGAATTATGTTCAGCAATTGAATAATAAAAACTATAGTTAATATATTATATAAATCTATAGCTATTAATAACAATAAAAACAATAGTTTTATTTATACAAGTAACTGAAATTTAACAAATGATTTTCTTGATATTTTTTTCCAATATTTTGATTCCTTAAACTGAAATTTATAATAAAAATATATTTTTTATTAAGCAAATTCATTTTATTAAATACTTAAACAAATTTTACTTTTATTTGTATTTATTGAATATATTAAAAAATATTTAAAACATAAAAGATATAATTTTGAATAATATTATATTCGAATTATTTTTAAAATTATATGTTATTTTTAATCGCACATTAAATAAATACCACAAAATAATGATAACATACAAGAGGAAAATGAGTTAACTAATGAACAAATAATGATAAATTAATCAATTTCTATAACAATTACATAACTAATGATGTAAATTATTGCTAAAAATATTAACAAAATTCGACATGCACATTTAAAATCTAATCATGTATTTAAATTTATAATATATTTTCGAATGTTAATACTATATATACAATATTATTTATAATATTAATACAATAATACAATATTAATACAAAAACATTTTAAGAATTAATTTAATCCATAATATGTCTTTAAACGAGGTGTTATCTTTTAAAGAAAATTTTCGAATTTATTGAATCTTACAAATCAAACTTATAATAAATTCAGATTAAATATACAAAACTTAATTAGTTATATACATATGAAAATGGTAGAAAAGAAGTCATTAAGACATCTGGAAAAAGCTGTTAGACACAAATTGGTAGTCTATCGATACACAATGCAAACATTGTTGTCAAATCCAGCTTAAGGTAGCTTGGATAGTAAAGCAAGGTCATTTCAACAAGTCCTCCTCATAATGGGGATGCAGGTAAGAAGCGCTCTGATTGGGGCCGCCAATAACGAAAGAGGCGCTCTGAGTGGAGTCGCTAAGAAAGAGCCGATTCGATTGGATATGCCAAGAAAGATCCGATTCGTAAATGACCATACGTTGGTCAAGAGAATGCTTTTAAGGCACACGCCGTCAAGATAAAGAGGCGTCTTACAAAGAACGCCAAGGAACAAGGTATTGACATAAATTGTAAAGACCAAGGGAAAAAGATGCAAAGACTAGTTGTGTATTTCCCAAGATAAGTACAAGATCGATACACAATATACACTCTCTCAGCAGAGCCAAGAAAAAGGAACAAGGAAACAGTGGTATACGTGCTGCACGAGGCAAAGTCTGCCATGTCATCTGCCATGTCATCTGCCATGTCTCACATGCCACTACACAAAGAAGCGCTGAGATTTACACCTACACACTTCTACGTGTAAAATTGCACTACCAAGCGTATCACACAAAGAGGACCTGGAGATTTACGACCTTCCATTTATACATATAGTGCACGTTACCACTACGTGGCAGCTATAAAGGAACAGCAAGATAGTTAAGATTCCTATTATCAATTTAGAATCATTATAGTGTAATTTTAAAAGATAACCGCAATAAACATCAAGTAAAACAAATGTATTAATTATTGAATACATACATTATCCCTTCCGCTTGGCCGCAATCCTTCCACCAAACATCTGGGAGCTTAGTCTAATTCTAGACATTTTGGTCCTTCGAGCCAGATAAGTGGAAGTTAGTTCGTTCTTTCAGTATTAATACAACAGAAAAGAAATGCAGCTACACTCTGATCATACCATCACAACATTGCAGTTCCTATCATAAGGACACACGGTACTTGAGTCACAAGTCACAAGTCACAAGTCAAACAATCTCCAATAAGTAAGTATTGCATTATTTTTCTTCTCTCATACTGCATTACTATTAAGAAAATGTCACACCACGAGAAGAGAACCAAAGGAAACATCTGCTGAGGAGCTCACCACACATGAAAATCGAAATCGCATAACCCGTAGTAATGTGAAAGAAAGAGTTCCAATTGAGCTCAATGTGAAAGCTCAAGGTCAGTGTAAACGTATCATATCAATAAAGAAGTTAGCCAAAGAGCTCCCTTCATCTTACCTAGACACATCCATAGAAGAAGTCATGGGCATCAAGGGATTGGTTGACGATATGCACAAGGCATTTGCCAAAGGGCAGAGTTATATGAAGTTAACATGGCCTACAGCATTAACAATTCAGTTTCCTACAAAAAAGAAAGTCCTTCCCATAATAAGAGCAGGATAGGTGCACTACACACACTATCAGAAAAGCCAAGGAAAGGAAATAAAAAACGACTATAGGTGCAAGAATCAATACATATCTAATAAGCAGTGGTGTGACGATCATTATAAAAAAACTCATTCACGTGACTCAACAAGGAGATACAGAGTCCGGATCCCACTAAAGGAGTCTATTGAGATCATTGGAAATTCTCACAAGACAGCACATCAATGCCTCCAAAGTTTACTGACACAATTGTCAAGAGACAATAATTATCTTCTACACTACTGTTCGGGATTGAAGCAGTTTAAGCAGAATTTAAAATTGAGAAACGTACAATCTCCCGGACTCATGTTTGTAAACACGATATAGCGAATTCGGGAATTTTCCTACGCCTTAAATTCGAATATACAACCATGTCTCCGCATAGCAACGCCGATGAAGCTTCTAGAACCTTCCAAGGCTGTGCCCTGCCACGCTTCTAGAACATTCCAGAGCTTCGTTTTTTGATGTTCCGACGATTTTCGGTATAGTAACAGGCATCAGCGCTGTTGCCGGCGTCGCAAGCTACCAAACGAATATTTAAGAGGAGCGCGCCACACACCGGGCACTCTACTTTTAACATCCACTTAGTCGCCACGCACCTGGTTCATGGTGTTTTTACTATCTACTCAGTTATCAATTACAGCTCACTGTAATTCTATACCTCGCTCATTCATCTGTTATTATTCATTAGTGCCTTTTCATATAAATATAGTATCAGTAATCACTTGTGACCACACGAAACTTAGTCGCAAATCAAACAATCGGTCTTTAAAAACATACGTGCGTTACTATAAGAATCTACTACAACAGGGTAACAATTTAACAGTAAAGCCATTGGAATTGTAATCAATAAGGTGCGTCAGCCACGAAGCCATTCAGCATGCACTCTCGGTAGTTCATAAGGTACATCATTTTATTATTTGTGTAAGCTGGTCATCCACCTACAAAAGTGACGCCATACGCTCTCTCAAGCCGATCAGGCCGGAGACCATACGTTTACCCTCTACATGTAATTACATTATCAAGGTCAAACTATAGTTTCTCAAATAGTCGACTATAACTATCTATTATTAAGTTCTTCCGTCTTCGAAGATCCTGTTTATGATTTAATCTTCTTGCGTGTGACTATCTCTCTAATATTCCCATTCTTCCATTGAAATATGGTCGATTTACGTAACCACTACCAAAGAGACTACAGAATTTTCTCTTTTTAAGTATGCCTACTCTCCCTATGAAGCCTTATTGATTACCATTACCATCACCATTACCATCTTCCCATGCTCATTGGTGAGCGTGGTTGACTACTCATGCTGATCCTTACAACATCAGCATAAACTCAATACTCAACATCCACAGTAATTTCCATAGCATCAACAACAATCGAGGACACAAGGAAGCACCCTCACTATATTATAATAATTCATAAACAAGAATAAAACAATATCTTCATTAAAAATATATATTACATAATATTTTTAGCCCTTCCATCTGTGCCTTTTTCTCCTAATCGATACGGCGAGAGACTAACTCACTGAACTATTGAATTGGCAGTTCGAGCCACAAAACAAACACTCAATTTCGAACAATTACCAATAATTCATGCCGGAATATAAGGAAATGAAGCGTATAAAAAGAACGTCACCAGTTTCCCAGCAACAAATACAATACTATCTGTCTCGACACAAGGTACTTAATCCAGATAGCACTATAATAAGATTAAGAGTCGTATTCATCAGCTCAACTCCATCAACTTCAGAAAAATCGATCAACGACTTTATGCACACGGGAGCCAATCTAAATGAAAAAATTTCAAATGTGTTACTCTGGATACAACGACATAAACATCTGTTTGTTACAGACATTGAGAAAATGTACAGGCAGATACTAATTCACAAAAACGACTGAGACCTGAAAAGAATACTATAAATAGATGAAACAAAGAAATGCCATCTCAATTCACAACGGTCACTTATGGCATGAGAGCCGCTTCATTTTTAACAGTCAGAACATTGATGCAATTGGTAGAAGACGAGGGAGAAAAGAACTCACTGGCACTGCCATAAAAAATTAATTCAGATATGTCGACGACATTTTTGGAGGTGCAGACACGCCACAACTGCTAACCGAAACCACATTACAACTGCAGAATCTCTGCAAGGCGGGTGGTTTTCCATTGGCAAAATGGCACTCAAATCTTACAGATGTCCTAACCGCTATCAATACAGACA